CCTCAGTAGAGTGCTGTGGCATCACAGCTCACAGCAACCTCAAACTCTTGGGCTTAAGCGATTCTCTTACCTCAGCCTCCCAAGTAGCTGGGACTACAGGTGCCCCAATGCCTGGCTACTTTTGTTGTTGCAGTTGTCATTGTTGTTAGCAGGCCCAGGCTGGGTTTGAGCCCTCCAGTCCTGGCTGGCACCATAACCACTGAGCTATGGGCCCCAGTCGAGAAAAGCCTTTTTCTAAATCGTTGCATATATAAAAGCTACTAACCCAAATCAGAAAACACAAATTGTTGGTATGCTATTGTTTAGTTTATGTAAAATTTTAAAATAATTATTTGCCAACATGTCAAAATTGGGAGAATACCAGACACTCCCAATTTCTGGGTTCACCTTAAAAAACGTGGATGGTCATCTTCTACCACTTCTATTTTATTTGAAGTACTTTTAATTCCCTTACTCTTTGGACTGGGCTCCTGGAGATGTTTGGATTTGGAACTCTTGCCTAAACAACTCCTGCTCACAAACTGAGCAGTGACAACCAAAGACCCCACCCCACCCCAGGGAGGCCCGCTGCACATGTAGTGCAGGTGCCCTGCTGGGGGCTTCTTCTCACATCGCCATCTCACAGCAGCCGAGCCACTGATTTGTTCACTCATTCATTCATTCATTCAGTACATGTTGAACATAGTCACAGGCTGAGATGTAGAAGGTCACAGGCCATAACACCTTCCTCCAGTTATCTGGAGTATGAATTATACACACGTTTGTCCTCGCCAACCACTGTCCTTTACACATCCATTATAGATTCAGAACATGCTAGCAGAAGAAAATCAACCTAATCTAGTAATCTTTCAATCCCTCTCCTTTTTACTTTAATTTTCAGAAGTACTTTTTTTTTTTTTTTGGTCAAATAAATTTTTTTTAAGAGATGCTATGGTGGTTGATTGAGGGTTTGGCATTCTGAGGGTCCCTCCTTTGGTTCTCCCCTCACTCCTTTTTTGATAAAACAGCAGTCTGAGCACTGCTAATCATTCCAATCCCACCAGACAAGTGTGAAGGGACTTGCTCAAGGCTACTTGGTCCTGCCCTGGCAGAACCAGGGATAGATCCCCAAACTCCTTCCTCTTAGGCCATCATGCCAACTGCATCATGCCTCTCTCAACCTGTGTGTCTGTCTGATTGCAGGGTGATCTCTGCAGTTGTGCTTAGTGCAACAGCTCTTGGAAGAGCCTCCTCTTACACCCCAAGTTATGCCAAAGCTAAAATAGCAGCGGCACGCTTTTTTCAGTTGCTGGACCGACGACCCCCAATCAGTGTCTACAGTAGTGCAGGTGAAAAATGGGTAAGTATTAGTTGTGCTCGTGTGTGTGTGTGCAGAACAGCCATCATGGATGGTCATACAATTCTTATTAGCTTCTAAATTCCTGTAGTATATGGATCTAATCATCTGCACTCAGAAGGGACAGACATACATGTAAAGGAATGAAGTATTTTGACATTAAAAATTATTCCTAAAGCTGGCATTTAAATAAGGCAATGATAGCCAATGAATACTAAATTCTGTATAATATAATATACACTTAATTCCAAAATGAACGAAGCCTGTTGTATTTTGAGACAATCCCAATCACCTTGCTTTCTATTTTTATAGAACAGAAAAACTAGCTCTTCCTGTTCTGTGATACTTATTTGGCTTCAAGTTTTATCTCATATGGATGCCCCCAAAATTTAATTGATCCCAACAAGATGTCTTTTCTTCTAATTGATAGTCCCCAGAGGTGTTTTTTTTATCTTCCCTGCCTATTTTTGAAATCCTCAGTATGTTCCAGAGAGCAAAACAAACCTAAATACTAGTTAAGCCAAATTAAATTCTGAAGTCTTTTCAAATTGTTCAAATGACCTATTTCTCCTTCAGCTCACTAAAAGTAAAATCTCTGTGTGGTCTATTAAATGTCTAGGCATTTCTGGAGTTTATAATTCAGATAGCTTTAAGCCCTAAAGTACAATAGAAAGTATTCTCCTTTGCAGTACAGACCTCCAGTAACTTTTGCTCTAGGTCATTCTGAGACTAATGTTATTATTTTGAGTCTTTGGGGGAACAGAGCTGTAGGGTTTGGACAGTTACTGGCTTCGGTGAGGTGATAATATCTTCTAGCTATTCTCTTCTGTTCAGAATGCCAAGGACTGTATGAGGAGGAAATCCCTTACGTTACATTGAGAATGAGCAGGGTCGAATGTCTTGAATTTCACTCCTCAAGCCTCCCTGTACGCTATCCCTGCTAGAGAGAATGGAATGTCCTTTCACTAAGTTGCTGCCTCTACACTTTGCACTTGGGCAGCACGGTTTGAAGGTGTCTCAGGCAGCGATTTTAAACTCAGATGTAAGTGCATTTTTAATATTCTAGGCCCCAGTAAGAAGGTGTGTAATTTCAATGCTCCCACTCGCAGGACAACTTCCAGGGGAAGATTGATTTTGTGGACTGTAAATTTACGTATCCTTCTCGCCCCGATGTGCAAGTTCTGAATGGCCTCTCCATATCGGTCAGTCCAGGGCAGACACTGGCATTTGTCGGAAGCAGTGGATGCGGCAAAAGCACCAGCGTTCAACTGTTGGAACGTTTCTACGATCCTGATCAGGGGAAGTTGGTAAGCACTGCAAATGCTTTCGAGAATTTTGCTTTCTGCCGAATATGGCCAACTCCTACAAAGAGCCTTCAAGATTATGCTTCTCCAGACTCACTTTATTTGTTTGTTTGCTTGTTTGTTTGTCTTTTTTTGTCCAGTGCCCTCATGAAAGAGTGTAGTATGTAGCCATCAGTTTGGAGTTGATTGCATTCAGACACAAAATAATAACACCTTTTACGCTTGTATTGTGCTTTCTGTTATTTCAAAGATCTTTCCTATTGATTATCTCACACAATAAGAGATTAAGAATGTGTGATGTTTGCAAAGTGGTTTGACTCATTTCCATCGTGCAGTTGATGAACCTGAATCCCAGAAAGGTTCTTACCTAAGTTCCAGTGCTGATTCTGTGCTGGACACTTTACATCTTTTGTATTTACCTGGATGGAGTTGGAGAACATTCTCCTTAGTGAAGAATCTCAAGAATGGAAGAATAAGCATCCCAAGTACTCAATACTGATTTGAATCTAGCAGATAAACAACTACAGGCCCACACGAGAGGAAAAACACAATTAAACTCAAGAATGGGGGAAGAGAGAAGAAGGGGAAAGGGGACTACGGAGGAAGGGGCTCAGTAAGCTCCCACCTGGGGGCACCTGGGGATATGGCATTCGGCACACCTACTGGATGAAGGACTCAGATACAACTCGGACTTTTCCTAACAAATGCAAACAATGTAACCTAACCATGTGTACCCTTGTATTAATCCAGAATTTAAAAAATAAATAAATTCTAGGACACCTTCACATGATCTGTTTCATCCATGTTGAAGTGTGATAAAAATGTGACTAGAAACCCCTGGTTTTTTGCCCACTGAATCAGACTCACTTTAAAGTGGCTGCCTGGACACTTTATCCCGGTGCATATTTTCCAGTCACAGTCATTTGCTGGTTGACCTGACTCTACCCTACCATTTCTAACATCGTATTTGGCCAGTTCCAGATGGCCTGCTGACCAGTTGGGCAAAAAAAGCCTGGGCACAATGGAAAGCTAGAGATGCGTGTATTTAATGGAAACATTCACTTACTTGCAAATGGAGCAGAAAGTGCAGACTAGTCAGGGAACAAATCACCAGGGATGGAAAAAGTGGGGGCGATGAGGGATGCGATGATAAATGAGCAAGAAAGGGGACTTAGCATGAAAAAGGCTGAGGCGATCCTTGTTCAAGAAGCCTGGAGTCTAAACAATCAAAGGAACTCACCTCCACAGCCATGCATGCCAAAGCTTTGGCAAGGATGTTTGAAAAATAGGTGAATTGCATTGTCGCTCACTTTTCATGGCATTTCTTTCTCCTCTTTTTTCTCCCTTTTTTCTTTCTGTCAAAGTAACAGATGCAGAGAATTATAAAGTCAAATAGCAAAAAAAAAAAAAAAAGGTTTGTGATAAACTGCAACTCCCTGCCCTACCCTGCCATCCCCACCCCACATTTCTCTGCTCAAAGGCAACTATTTTTAACCGCTTGATGTTTTTTGATCTTCCACTGATTACTTTTCTATCTCCAAACAATATGCTCATGTTGCGGTTGCACAGTTAAACAAATCTAGACTTTCTGCCGACTTATTCTCAAGAGACCGAGATTCCGCTTACTCTCACCACCTCCTCCCAATATCCATGTATCACTTTTTAGCCCCTATATTTATAAATTTAACTGTTATCCTTCTGTGGCTTTCCCACCGCCTATATAAAATACATCTTGAATTCTTGCTTTCTAAAGTGACAATTCTCACAATGGTCCCCGTTTGTCACTTCTTCCTCCTTCCTTTTCCCTCTCAAGTTCTAACTGCACTTATTATCGAGAATATAAAATGCTTACCCTCTGTTTTTAACACTGGTTTTCTGTGAAAGTCCTGCTTTCACTCCAGGTTGATTCGAAAAGTTGGAAATCAATTAACAGGTTTTGTTATGATTATGTAAATATTCGTATGATTGTGTGAACCTGGAACGCACGTTGCACCAGAGGTCTGGTCTTCCTGAGAGAGAGGGTTCACTTTTCCAAAGTGAAAGTCTTGTTTTCACTCCAGGCTGATTCTAAAAGTTGGTAATCGATTAACAAATTTTGTCATGATTATGTAAATATTAATTCTATTAATCCTACAGTCAAATAGTAAGGTGCATTAGCTTTCCTTTGCTTTCTTAATTGTTTTTCTGCAAGTTGTTTTTCTTGCCTTCTTGGCCTTTATAAAAATCTTTACGTTCTTCCAGTGTCTCCATCCTGCCGTCAGCTCCCTCATTTTTGTCACTGCCAGGATTAGCTGCAACCTTGGCCTGCTGAACAGTTGCCACACTGTCAGTTTCTTGCAGCGTTTCCTTGGGTTAGAGCCATTATTCCCTCGTTCCTGGATCTTCCTTTTTCTTGGTTTTCACCCTCCTTTTGTTGGAGCACACCCATGAGTGGTTTTCTAAGAAATAGTTTAGAGGTATGGGCCTGGAAATGTTTTATTTTGTTCCATATGTCAAAGGTGGCCTTTCTACTTTCCCTGAATAATATAACCTTCAGTGCCCTGAGGACAGATGACATTATAAAGAGAAATGCTAGGAGAAACTTGGAAGAGGCAACAAAAGATTTCCTTTCATTAAGGAAATCAAGGGACAAACATTCTTCCTGGTGGAATCCAGGAGGTTATAAAAAATAAAGAGTAAGAGCTGATCACCTGTAATTTGGAGTCATTTCTGTTATTAACATTAGGTGTAAAGATTTTAATTCATTTGAATGTATTTGGTGACTGGTGAACCTGGAATGCACATTGCACCAGAGGTCTGGTCTTCCTGAGAGAGAGGGTTCACTTTTCTAAAATGTCATCTGTCTCCCAGGTAGACTGCCAACTACGTGAGACTGAGGAACCTGAATTCGTCATGTTTGACCTTTCTAATATTAACACTCTTTTAGTATATTTCTCTGAATATGCCCAGTGAATATTCTGGTTGCAGGCAGAAAGCAAGACCCGTGAGAAATCATCAGGATTCCTTGCATCTCATAGGCACTCTATGTTTCGTGACATCATTATAAAACTTTTCTACAAACGTTTTTAAGCAGGAAATATGCCACTTTTAATCAATTTTTAGAAGTTCCCCTTTGCTTTTAAGGAAGCTAATACAAGCTTTCGATATTTTCAGTATTTAAGTGGACACCTCTGAAGGCCTGTTCCTGCATTAGGCCCCGAGGGAAACTCTAAGAAGCATAGCCAGGACTTCTGTCTTCCAGGAGCTGGCTTACCGCTCAGAGCAACCAGCAAATGGCTCCAGTATTTAATTATTAAATTGTGCTCTGCAGACTTAAGTACTACAGAGAAAGAATAGAGCAAGATAAGCGAGGGCTAACTATGACGGAGGAACACTTTATATTTTTCAATTGTGTTTGCTTTTCCCATTGCCGAGAAATTATCTAAAATATAATCTGTTCTCATCATTTAACATGATCTCTTTCTGAAATCAAAGGGCCACTTTAGAGTGATGTATTAGACCCACTGTCTCTTTACTATTTTATCACTTGTAAGTGGACCAGCTCCAATGGTGGATATTTGAGTACCTGGACTTAACTGCCTTAAGTAGATTGAGTTTCTAGGAGACAGAGATAATGTTTTCTTTCCAAGCTCACATTGGTGCTTTTGTGGCAATTTGATAAATGTTTGTTGATTGACTAAGTTAATAAATGTATTCCTTTTTTATTTGATTCTATTATTTCAGCTTTTCAGAGAATGGTGTTAATAAAATCAAAGAAATAAGCTTGAACCTTATATTATCCATTAAAAAAATGCTTTTCCTAACTCATGAAGTCTCAAGATTAAGTAACTCTGCACATTTGTAGAGTGTGCTGTATTCAAAGCATAAGGAGAAGGTTTTTCTTGACCAAATACTGTCTTGAGTGTCTTGCCCATTTTTACACCCATAGAGATGGAATATGGAAAACAAATCAATAAAATCACAGTCCGATCAGTGTTAACTTTCACACCACTTCTGGCAGACACTATCTCCAAAGGTCAAAGGCAACATAATTTATTGCCCTGAGCCCTGGGATTGTTGCCTGTTAAGCAAACCAAATGTGCTGCGTAACTCTTAACTCTAAGATAAGAACTTTCCTAGAATTCAGGGCCGGAATTCTAAAACTTAATGTTCTTTGTTGTCATCTCTATCGGCAGATGATAGACGGGCATGACAGCAAAAAAGTGAATGTCCAGTTTCTCCGCTCAAACATCGGAATTGTGTCCCAGGAACCAGTGTTGTTTGCCTGTAGCATAATGGACAATATCAAGTACGGGGACAACACCAAAGACATCCCCATGGAAAGAGTCATAGCAGCCGCGAAGCAGGCTCAACTGCATGACTTTGTCATGTCCCTGCCAGAGGTGAGTACCAAGTCACAGCCACTCACTACGGGAGTCGAGGATGAGAGGTAGAGTGACCAACAAGTACAGGTGAGCATCCCGATTCCAAAACCTGAAATCCAAAATGCCCAAAAGTCAGAACTTCCTGAGTGCTGACATGATGGCAAAGTGGAAAATTCTGCACCTGACTTCATGTGACAAGTTGTGGTCAAAACACAGCCAAAACTTTGTTTAATACACTAAATTATATAAAGTTATATAAAGTTACATAAAATTACCTCAAGCTGTGTGTATAAGGTGCATATAAAACATAAATGAATTTCTTGTTTAGACTTGGGTCCTACCCCTGAGAATCTCATTATGTATATGTATATATTCCAAAATCTGAAAAAAATCTGAAATTCGAAATACTCCTGGCCCCAGGCATTTCAGAAAATGGATATCCAACCTGTAGTATGATTGTGGCTCAAGAAAGTCAAAGGGAACACAACTGATTTCCCATTGCTGCAGGATTGCCTTAGTCTTTAGGCAAAATATATGTTCTTACACTCTTTAGTTTTGGAAAGCAAAAAATATATGTTCTTATACTCTTAGTTTTGGAAAGCATTGTATCATCCAACTCTTAGTGGCTGATTACAAGGAAAATTAAAGCATAGAAACAAATGTTAGGAGCCAACTACTACCTTTGACCTTTCCACTTCTTTTTTTATCTTAAATGTCACTGGGGAAAATTATTTTTTCTTTGTGAGTGATTACATTTATAAGCTTTGTGTTGTTTGTGGAGGACTTTTTGTTCGCTTTTTTTACCATGCCTTCTAAGCTCTTGACCTGGTTTTTACTTGGGTAGTCCAAACTGTAAGTAGGTGCAAGTTATTATTTGCAGCATCCAGAGTTGAAAAGTGAAGATAGTGTGTCCCTTGGAAGATTAATTTATTCCATAAATCTCAATCGAACACCTACTCATTCTGTGCAAGACATTGATTAGAGTTGGTTTACTGCCTTTTTCTCATATAGACTTGCCCATGACACCATTCCCTGAGAACCTTGTCTCCAGGAGATGAAGTGGGTTGATATTGGTCTCTCTGGGCTTTGTCAAGCATTTGTTAGGAGGCCAGGGAGGTAGGGAAAGGAGACAGATCTTGGGAAAGCGCTGATCAAAGGCAGGGGCTCGATATACCTGGGTTGAGATTTCACTTTCAATGCTTGTTACTTGTCTACTTCTTTGTGCCTAACTGCTGAAATCTAAAAAATGCAAATTTATGGCTTCCGTGAATATTATATGATAACTTGGTTAGGGTAGTTAGCACAGTAACTGATGCACAGTAAATATTCCATGAATGTTAATTAATTTTTATGTAGCCTTGAGATCTTCTTTCCTAATTTCATCTAAAACTCACAGTAAGTCTATGAACTCATTATTAACATTGCCTTTTTCTGATGAGTTTTCAGCTCCAAGAAATGTAAATAGTTTTTTCATGATCACAGAGCTAGTAAATGGCAGAGTGGAGATTCTAACCATGGCTTACGTTTCAAAATATTCCGGTAAAGGAATAGAGCACGACAGCTCTCAGAAGGCATTTCCATCCCAGGGATTATTCTACCTTGCAAGGACTTTTCAGATAAGAGTCTGGACATCAGGAAGTCTCAAATCAAGAAAAAGATCATATATGGGATTTTACCAAAACACAGGGAGGAAGAGACTGGAAATATAAACCTAAAAGAAATGTAGGAATTGGAAATAAAGTCTCTTATTTCCATTTTTTTTTAATATGCCTTAGTGGATGTGATATCCTTTATAGGATGACTCATTCACTATTCCAAAATTCAATAAACAGCAAATAATTTAAATTCAAATAGGAGTCGTTGATACAGGCTCCAAATAGCACAGGAGCAGGAACTAACAGTTTCTAGTGCTCAAACTTACCATACTTGTTCCAGAAATATGAAACTAACGTTGGCTCCCAGGGGTCTCAGCTTTCTCGAGGGGAGAAACAGCGCATTGCTATTGCTCGGGCCATCGTCAGAGATCCTAAAATCTTGCTACTGGATGAAGCCACTTCTGCCTTAGACACAGAAAGTGAAAAGGTACGTACTGATTTTCTGAAGTCCTAAATCATTGTAAATGAGTCTTTTGCTGTGAAATTTGCCCTTATAAAATGTCACTATTTTCAATTTTCTGACTCATTAACAGTAGAAATTGGCAATATTTTGTGGAACCACAAGAAAATAATCTGGGGAAAGTGATTTAACATAAGATTGCTTCAAATATAAAAAAAACTTTATAATAAGAATTGTTTTTAAGATTTTTTTAGGCCGAGTGACATTTCTTCAAAGGCAAATAATTGGCTTTCTTAAATAAAGTAAAAGGTCATCTGTTAGCATTACATATTTTATAGTTCTAAAGTTAGAATTATAGAGGGTCGGCCACACACAACACAAAGAATGAGGTGATATCTGATGTGTGGTTTGGATGAAAGAAGGTGCAATTGAGAAAAACACAGTTATAAAATTTAACATTCATAATTAACATCTTATAAATCAGGATTTCATTTTGGAGAGAGCTAATCTGTCCTCAGTGAAGAATGGTGTCAGGAATGACCATTTGGCTGCTACCCTCCATTGTTTCCTTGCTTTCCTTTTTGTAAACTAGATCATCACTAAGTAAGTGTAAAATTACACAGTAATTCCCAAGTTTGCTTCACTGAAATTTCTCAGCCTGTGCACTGCTGGTGAAATAATTGATGCACTGCATTCAGTGAATACACCTGCTTGCTTCATCCTCTCTTATGGCAAACCTTTGGGTTTACCCCTAAGCGTAGGGTTGCTACTCAGGCAGTATTAACTGAAGTCTTGTAATGGTGGGCCGGGGAACATCGTACGCCTTTACCTCACCTTATGTCTCCTCTTTGCAGACGGTGCAGGTTGCTCTGGACAAAGCCAGAGAGGGTCGGACCTGCATTGTCATTGCCCATCGCTTGTCCACCATCCAGAATGCGGATGTGATCGCTGTCATGGCACAGGGGGCGGTGATTGAAAAGGGGACCCACGAGGAACTGATGGCCCAGAAAGGAGCCTACTACAAACTAGTCACGACGGGAGCCCCCATCAGCTGACCAGGCCCAAGAACTTCATACAAGATGGCACACCAAATGGCTGGAGGGCTCATCTGCTGCTTCCTTAGAGAGGAATGTCCATATTTTACTTTTACAGACATTGCCATACATTGGGAGCCAAGTTAATTTCTAATGACGTTCAATAATAATTCAGCTTAGATGTTTATATAGCAAATGAAAGAAATGAGGCTGAGTGTGAATGAAAATGCAATGTCAAGTGGTTGCTCAGCCGCCAGCTGGCACTTCTCTGTGCAGGAGCAGTCCTGCTTACTACATGAGAAGTAAAGAAGACTGGACTCCTCCAGGGCAGAGGATATCCTTGACACTGTTGAACCCTAGGTGTGCCCAGAGGCTGGTCTATGACAGGCACTGAACTAAGGTTTGTTTGACTAAAGTCAAACGTGAAAAGAACAGAAGGACTGGAGACCAGCTGTACTGGTCTGTGTCCTCATCTGTACTCATCTGTGTCCTCATCACCCTCCTCTGTCTGTACTGGTTGCTCTTCTTTATTTCCTGGAAATCCTATGCATGTAATGAAAACAGTGCATTTTATTTTGCTCTACCTTTATAAAATGTTATCCATAAAAGCTGGTTAAATATGGCAGGAAAAACTCAAGTTTATCCCTGTTCCCTCAAAATACCAGTTCTCCTAATGGAGAATTAAAGAAGGCATGAATCTACAAGAATAAAGCAAACAAGATGATGCCAGAAACCAGATTGGGGGAGCCAGAAATCAAATGGACAACTGATAGAGGATTTGAAAGATGAGAACAAACAAAAATGTAATCTGTTAGTGAAGGGAAGCCTAGAGGCATCTGTTTTGTACCACAGCTCCTTAGAAAAGCTCAGGATGTAAAGATACTGACTGGCTCCTTTTGGAAGGGGGAGGCCAGATGTGGCTGAAGACAGAAGAATTGACCGAAGCCTTCCTGGGTGAAGCCTGCCCTTCCACAATCCAAGCAGAAGATTGGATGCTCCCTCTCTGGGAAGTTCACAGACAGGCTTGGATTTAAGGACATAGGTTGCCATTGAAGGGGTGGCAAGCATACAAGAGATAGGAGGATTGAGTGCAAAGTCTTTATGTGATCAGAAAACTCTCAGCCCCTTCCTGCCTCTGCAGGAGATTAAAGAATCATTCTCTGGGAAAACTGGCCAATCTAAGATAGGAGACCCATAACTGCTAGGGATCCTCCAATGCAAATTTTGTATCCAGATTGTCCTAGGGTGAAGCCCACTTGCCAACAGCCAGCACTCACTCACTCAGCTTCCCTAGGCTTTCAGTGTCTCCCCATGCCGTGCATAGAAATGGACTGCCCAGGCTCACCAGACACCAAGCAGATATTTTAACATATAAATCAAAAGCAACAACAATAGAACATCCAGGAAAGGGCAGTGCCTGTGGCTCAGTGGGTAGGGCACTGGCCCCATATACCAAGGGTGGCGGGTTCAAACCCAGCCCTGGCCAAATTGCAACAACAATAACAACAAAAACAGCCAGGTGTTGTGGCGGGCGCCTGTAGTCCCAGCTACTGGGGAGGCTGAGGCAAGAGAATTACCTAAGCCCAGGAGCTGGAAGTTGCTGTGAGCTGTGTGACACCATGGCACTCTACCGAGGGTGATAAAGTGAGGCTCTGTCTCTACAGAAAAAAAAAAAAGGAGCATCCAGGAAAGAGGACGTTAGAAGTAACAGAGCCAATTTAAAGATAAAGAAAACACTCAAGAAGTGGTAGTAAATTTAGTCAACCAGAATAGAGAAGGTATTTGCATCTATTTAAAGAAAAACAGGAGTCTAGAAAATGAACATAAACAAAAAAACATAAACATACGAAACGGAGCTCTTCATAGCAGAAATGAAAAATGGCTCAGTACAACAGCAGGGCTGCGAGGTTCCCAAGGAGCCGTCCACCCATCACAATGTCTTTTCCCTACTCTATCTTCCTCCCAAGCCCCACTCTACGGAGGTGCCTTTTCTTCCCTTGGCCAGCAAATGAAATCCTGCCTACAAATTAAGCCTGAACTGTGGCATATGGAGGTGTCTTATTTCTGTCTCTTTCCCATGTTTCCTGGAGAGTAACTGCAAGGAAGATTCCGCAGGTAAACTGGTGAGGCCAGAATTGCTGATGGTTGCCACATGAGGAGGCTGAGGGTGGAGGACGGCTTTCTAGTTAAGTTTTGAAAAATGACAATGGCAAGTAAGTTGCCACATGAAGATGCTTGCTGGAAGAAATTAAGCTTTGCAGCGAATACCTGCTGCTTCTCTAATTTCGACGAAAGAAGACTAAAACTGTTGTGTAGGTTCACATTTCTACATGGAGGATGTGGCCTTTGTGCTGAGAGCGTGCTGATTTCCTGCAGTGGAGTTTGAGGGATATGAGAGAGGAATGAACACGGTTTTTAAAAAATAATTTGCTTGAAAGTTATTGATAAGAGGGAAAGGATGTAGTAGAAGGGGCTTGAAATTAGGAAAAGAATTGCCATCTGAGGTTCAGTAACAAGGGAGATTACAAACTCAAAAATGAATAAAGTTGCATGCGTGTGGTACGAGACCAGGGAGTGTCAATGTCATCCTTTTTTCTCCTCTATTTCTAACAAAGATTTGGCCTCTGCCATTTTATATTATTGTTTCTCAGATGATTGAAGGATTGGCTTAATCTGTTCTATGTGACAGTTATTATAA